GCAAGACATAAAATTGAATAAGTTTTTAACCTTTAAAAAAGATCTCCATTTCATTCTAAAATATACTGTTCTTGCAGAAAGACTCATTGTTTTTGCTAATAACACTGTGACATTGGCTCATGTGTCTCTAATCTGTATGTATCTGATTATTACTAGGGATTGACCCTTTTCTCATGGCATGGTATACTGTTCTCTTATAGAATATATTAGTGTCTTCAACCTTTATCCTCTTGATAGACACTTAAGCTATTTCCAGTTTTTGGTTATTATAAATAAGTACCTTGAACACTCTTGTACAGATCTGTGAATATTTTCATTTACCTTGGGCAATTACTAAGGAATAGAATTACCACATCACAGGATAAGTGTATGTTTTAGAGGTTTGAGGTGGGTGTTTGTTTGTTTGTTTATTTGTTTGTTTGTTTGTTTCGAGAAAGGGTCTCCCTGTAGCCCCAGCTGGCTTGGAACTTTCTATGTAGTCCTGGCTGGCCTTGATCTCAGAGATATGCCTGCCTCTGCCTCTCCAGTGCTGGGATGAAAGGTATCTGTCATCATACCAGGCCATATGTTTAGTTTTATAAGAAACTGCCAAAATTTCTTCCAAAGGTGTTATGCCATTTCAATTCCTACTAACAATGTACAAGAGTTTCTGTTGTTCCACTGTCATTCACCAATTTTTAGTGTTGCCAGATTTTTTTTCCAATATCGTCATTCTAGCAGTTATCATCACATTACTTTTACTTATCAAACAACAGTATACATTTTCCATTTTCAAAGACGACTTGAATGCTATCTGCTTTCATGTCTTATTACTATAACCTGTCAGTTTTCTTAAGTGATATGAATAATTCATTAAATCTCAATGTTCATCCTTAGGAGCTGATTGGAAACAGTAATAATTTGGTATTTATTTTAACTGTTTCTGGATTTAACTTGAATTCTAGAATTTGAGTTACAATATTTTGTTCAAACTAATTCTTAGAGTTTTTTTTCTATAACATTAAGGCTTTGAAAGTAATCAAAATCATCAGTTGAGTTCTTGACTTATATGCAGTAAAAAAAAAAAATCACAATATAGTCACTAACTCAAAATTTCTTTCACCACACTGATTCTAGCCACTCCAACAGCTATCAAAGTGCCTGAAAACAAATCCTGAGTCTATCACTCTCGAGTCCAGCCTTTGCAGACAAAACAAAAATGAAGAGGAACCCAATAGAGGGATGCTTTTGGAAGCTCTTGTCAAGAAATTCCAATGGACTCTGTTATGAACATTTGAAATTTGCCCTGTTCTGACCTTTTTCTGCCTCCCTGTCTAGAACTTGTAATGCTAACTACTCTTGCCTTTACTTCTTCACATCTCCTAGGCACCAGTCAAGGATTTTCTTTTCTCCCTACATTTAAGAGTTATGCAATTTGGGACTCTTTTAGATAGACTCACTGAAGGGGTACCCCAATTGCCTCACCCCGTGTCCTTGTTCATCATGGAAGAAGCCAGAGCAGTCTGCGTCCCTATTCCCCATTGGCAATTTTGGTAACCTCTTCAGAGGATGGTGTGATAAGAATAGGAGGTAGAATTGGCTAGGCAGTTAGAGTCAAAAGACCCCAAAGAAAAGTAGCCAGTTTCTTGGCTAAAAGTCACAATGTCCTTGGGCTTGTATTTCATCAAAACACCTTATAAGCATGTATGAAATTCTCAATAAGTTTTTAAAGCTTAAAAAAAATAATTATCTAAAAAATATAATTTCTTTCACCAAATTAACTGAGAATCACCAAAGGAGTATCTCTTCTGACCTAATCTTTGATTAGGAAACGGGATCATTTAGAATAAGCATAAGTAATATCATTAACGTTACCTCAAAGATAAATTGCTTACAGCTCATGGAGAAAGTCCACAGTTCTAATTTCATTGTAATACAAATGTTTTCTTAGGTCTTGTTTTTGTTTTGTTTTGTTTTGTTTTCCCTCATCCTCCATAATCCATCTCTTGTTTGTTATGAAAATAACTGAAATGCATTTCATGTGTCCCAAAAATGTATTACAAGATTGGTGCTCTTGAGTTTGCCTGTAATCCCACCACCTGAGAGCCAGAAGTAGACGGTTCAGGAATCCAAGGCCAGCACTGACCACATAGTGAGTCTGAGACCAGCCTGGATCATGTGAGGCTGGATTCGTTGTTGTTGTTGTTAGTGTTTTTGTTATTTTTAATGCCATTCAGTCTGCTGCTTATAACATTAGAAAAATTGTAAATCATTGAATAACTTGCTTTTAATGCACTTTTAGTCATCAGCAACAGCAATATGTTTAAGAGCTCAAAATGGAAAAAAATAAACTACACAAGTCTAGAGATTAATGTGTTCTAGTCTAGGCATTGTAAAACACTAACACAAAAGCTTTGCTACTATTTTTAGCAATTTCTTTTCTTTCTCTGAACTTCATTTTCGTGAGCTATTAAAAGATAATATATGGGGCCTGGAGAGATGGCTCAGCAGTTAAGAGCACTAGCTGCTCTAACCGTCCTTAACTCCAGTTCCAGGGGAATCCAATGCCCTCTTCTGACCTCCATGAACATGTGCAACATGGGTGTACTTACATACATGTAGACAATACATTCATACACATTAAAAAATAAAAATAAAAATGAAATACTTTAAAACGATATATGCTTTAAAAATATATATGAGAATATATACTTTTTCACTAGGAAATTCATTTAGTATTGGTTAACTTTTTGATTAGACAGATTTTATTTCTTACCGTACTTGCTCATATCCTTCCCATAACATTTATGAGAGTACAATGATTCCAGTTTCTGGAAAACGGTCATGGATTCAGAGGCACTAGGGAGATGGCCTCTTTGGAAACAATTTGAATTAAGCATTCCAGTCTCTGTTCTGACTTTCCTTTTTTCAGAGGAACTTGATACATTGCTTTTCTTTCTAACTATAAAATAATAAAGCACACTGGTTATTAATTTATAATAGTCATTTGTCTAAATTATACAAAATGTCACCTAAACATGAAGTTTGCACTTAAAATTATTTTATTTATTTATTTGATGTGTGTAAGTGTTTTGTCTGCTTGTAGGTACACCACTTATATACAATGCTTACAATGGCCAGAAGAGGGCACATCCCGGTACTCTGCAAGAGCACCCAGTGCTCTTTCTTAACTGCTGATTCATCTCTCTTTACCCCTTTGCATAAATCAAGTCCCCAGGCACTTATTTTATTCTAGTAGAAGAAAGAAGCTTCTTTTATGTTTCTTTTCCTTTAATCTGCATATGAATCACAAGGACCAATGTCATGTGTAGGTGAAAATAGGCATCTGTGGTTGGGTGATTTTAGTAGCATAGAAAAGACCTGTCTACCTATCTTGCCTTTGGAATAAGACATTGTCCTCAGGTTTTTCTATGAAAAGCAGATAACAGATCAGAATCACTTTTGTCTTTTAGTATGGGAACTATTCATTGCCAGTATCGGCTCAGAATTTCCGCAGGGCCCTCAAGAAATGAAGCATGGTCAGAGAGGTTTCTGAAGACTGAAGAGGATATGAAAGTGTGTGTAGTGGGGTGCATTGGGGAAAACATTTGGTAGCTTGAAGGAGAGCATGAAGGTGGAAGGTGCCTTGGGTCGGCGGGGGGCGGGGATAGGGGGGTACGGCATAGACACGGGACTTCCATATTTGCTTCAGACGCTGGTCAGGACTGGCCCCATGAAAGACGAATGAAACAAGACATCTTAACTTCCAGATAAAGCCAAATTTTGCTTGTCAGCTCTGGGAGGCACTTCGTTCTATCTGAACCCAAAAGACCCCAGATGACTGTGCAGGCGTCACCGTATGGAGGCTGAGAATTTTGCATTTTCCCGAGTTATATAAGCCATGCAGTTTTAGATAAACTCTTGTTCACTGATTAAGTAAGTATTGAAAATGAAAACTAATTATCACTGTCAAGTTCTGGGTACATATTTTTTTTAATGTGATTCCAGAACTTAAAAATGAAGTGACTTTTTTTTTTTTAAACTCATAATTACCTCTGACATTTTGCCACTGGCCCACTTTACAAAGGAATTGAGTCTAAATGCTGTGCTGTTTCATCAGATTCATTGTATTTGAATGAACGAAGGTAGAAATAAAGTTAATACATTGAGCTACTCGACAGGGTTCACTTCTAGTCTTTAACCTCAAATCTATCTCTAACCTTTATCCCTTTCATTTAGTTTACACTATTCAAAACATGCTACCTTGGTTGTATATAAATTAGTATTATGTTATCAACAACTGAATTCTCTCCTCCAAATGAAATCTAAAAGTGATCACTCCACATTTTATCATATGTAGTAGAGAAAGACTCAAGGACTTTACAATTCAGTTTCAAACATAATTCAGCATCTGTGTAGTTTTGGATTGCTCAGCATAACTATAAGAATTTATTACTTTTCTCTTTTATCATAAAACATTTATCTTATCATTAAAAACATTTGGGCTTTTATAAATTGGGCATGGCAAACAATAAGGGAGTGTTTTTTAGATTAAGACAAAAGCTTTGATAAAAATAATTTGAAAATTGGCTCTCTAATCATATTATGCTGGAGCCCGAATACTAAAGTGATGTCTTCAGATGCTAATTGAACAGATTGTGTTGGTTTCTCTAAAAACAAGAGGTTTCTATCTCTTTGTGTAGCCTGAGAGATTATTATGCTTTAAGTATATTTTGGAAATTTCTTCCAGCAGCTAAATTGAAAATGCCTGATAGTCTCAATTACTTAAAGCATTTATGGTTTTAAGTTCTCAGCACAAACCAGCTGCCAAATTGGGGAGTGAGAGCAGTTAGTCAGAAAGACACTTATATAAGAACTGTCACAGAGGTTTCTGGTTTGAAAGCAGGAAACTCTGCATTTTAGACTCTGCTCTTTAAGGAATCTTTATTGAATATTTTCTCCTCTCAGGGCTGAGAGAAATGGCTGATGACTGAATCCTTTCTTCTTTCATTCTGTTGCAGCCCAGAAGATGGTGAGATACATCCGGAAATCTGCCGGCTTTACATCCAGCTGCAGTGCTGTCTAGAGATGTACACAACAGAGATGCTGAAATCCATTTGTCTACTGGGATCTCTTCAGTTTCATAGAAAAGGTATGCACATGTAATCAATTTTTAGAAACACAGAGGAGTAGTAAACAGTGTCCAGCTACACCAATCAACCATCCACACAGTCAGAATGAATTTAAATGTTCAGGAAATACTGGATATATAAACTAATGAAAAGTCCAGGTCACTGTTGTCTAAAAGGATGAGAACTGAAATTGTGGTAGAAATTGTTCTTGAATTTATTATTTTACCACCTGTGAACATGACTTTCCTCAGAATCCACAGAAGCTGCAAAACTGTAGATGATCTTAGGGGAGTAAACCCCTTCCAAGAGAGCCCTGTTTCTCTAAATGATACAATTTGTAAAGAGACAAATTTATATCATGTCCCGGTGACTTCAAAATGGGGGCGGATCTCAACAAGTGGTGGCAGGGAGGCACTTGAGCATTGGGAAATCTCATTCCCTGGCTTAAACTTTGAAGGGACTCTATTGACTCAAACATCCGGGGCTAGGGCTACAGCATGGGTTGATCCCACTTGTAACTCCTGTTCTAAGTGAGGCTCTACCCTCTGATTATTGGTTTTGCTCTCAAGCTGCTTCCCCCCATGTTAGCACACTGACTACAATAGCCTCAGTCATCCCATCTAATCACCACATGACCGTAAAGAGTGGGAACTTCTTCCTATTGTTGAACAAAATTCTGAGATTCATTCTGACTGAACCAACTTCATTCCTGAATCATAAACATAGTGGGTGAGAGTCCACTGGCTAACACAGGCAATCAAGGCCTATCCATGAAGCTAGTGGTGAAGTCTGCAACACCCAACCAGTGCCGTAACACAATGGGAACAGATAGAGTGGGGCCACTGCTCTTGGAGGACGCTAACTGCTTCTATTACTGGAGAATTTTACCTATATTTTCTTTATTAATTCATTGAAGAATAATTTCTTGGAAACCTCCTAAATGTGAACTTCTTATGCTTTTGGTCAAGAAAATAGGAGGTAAGGGTACATAGAATGTAATCCTTGTCCGTAATTTAAGAGTAGCGATAAGAAAGACGACATCAAATGAGCCATGCAATTTAGGGGACAACAAATAACATGATAATCTACTTGTAAAAATCAAATTTTATGTATACATGTATGTATATGTATGCACACAGCAGAACTAAGAAACAGGATTTTTGCGACATTTTTCTAAAGATAGGATATTTTCTCAGTACATGAGTATTATTCCTTTTTCCTTCATCCTTCTAAAGACTGATCTTTCAAAGGGTAACGTCTTTATTCCTATTATTAATAAGATAGAGTGTGCCTGCTGGAGAGATGGCTCAGCAGTTAAGAACACTGACTGTTCTTGCAGAAGACCCGGGTTTGAATCTCAGCACCCACATGGCAGCTAACAGCTGTCCTTAACTCCAGTTCCAGGGGATCCGACAGCCTCTTCTATCCTCCGCGGGCATTGCACAACATGGGTGTACTTACCTACATGCAGGCCATACACGCATACACATAAAAATAATAAATAAAATATTTTTAAAAAGAAGATAGAGTGTATGTTCGGAAAGACCAGATTCTTGCTTGATCCAAAAATTGAATACTCAAGCACACAGCATCCAAACAGGTGTCCCTGGTTGGATGCCTTTGCCTCTCCTTTTTGTCTTCTCCCTGCTCCTTGAAACACACATGTGTGTACACATACATGTGCACACACACACAAGCACACATGCAAGCTACTGTTTTCATTCTTTTCAGTGTTTAGGTAGATTGGGTATAGGCAGCTTTAGTCTTCAGATCTGTAGAGACTACACTTGTACAAATTCTCTGGGTCCATACTTGTCCTAACACCCAGGAACACCCATCCTGTCCCACTCCTGTTCTGACGTCACCTCATCACCTTCTGCTCTCCTCTTTTTGTCTTTTCACGATTGCCTTTTTTTTGAGACAGGGTTTCCTGTAGCTCAAGTCGGCTTCCCTGTAGAAATGAGGATTCCCTCGAACTTCTGATCCTCCTGCTTCTGCCTCCCAAACACTAGAATTACAGGGGCACACCACTACCCCTGGTTTATGTGGTCCTGGGGCTCAAACCTAGGGCTTCATGCATGCTAGACAAGCAGTCTACCAACAGAGCTACATGCTCAGTCCCACAGTTAACTCATGAAAGGAAAACTCTTCCCTCCTAGTTCTGTGTTTTGAAGTAAAGGCCATCTATTAAACAAGCCCTTGTATGTGGTCTTGAGCACAAATTTAAAAAAATTATGTCACCTCATAACTAATCAGTTCTGCCTCCCTCTCTGCCTAGCACAGGTAAGACCTTAGGTTCTGTCCAGAGAACTACAAGAAAATAAATAGTAGCCCAGGATGACCTTGAATTTGTAGCAATCCTCCTGCATCAGCCTCTCTAGTTCTAGGACTACAGGCTCGAGCCATTCACCACTCTTATTCAAGAAAGCAATGGAAGTCCTGGCCCCTTAGGAAGCAGGCCAACCAGAAAGAAAGTTCACACATAGTATTATGGTCTATGTAGAAAATCCCAAGGAATCTACAAAAGCACTCCTAGAAATAATGACAATTCAGTAGGGGAAAAGAATGCAAAGTTAACCTCCAAAACCAATTATATTTCTGTATACTAGCGATGAATACAGAGGCACCAAAATTAAAATTATGATGCCCTTCATCATCACTAAACTTATTTATTTTTCCATTTATTTATGTGTAAAATCTGATCAGTATCTGTTGGTGAAACTATAAAATGGTGATGAGAGAAATCAAAGAATACCTAAGTTGGTCCATAGGTCTATTGAAATTTCTATCAAAATCTCAACAAGGTTATTTCATGACATAAAAAAGCTTATTTTAAAATGTACATCAATTTACACGGGGAACCAGCAAGATGGTGGTAGAGGTGTTTACCACAAAACCTGATGAGCTGAGTTAGAGCCCTAGAACCCATACAGTAGAAGGAAGCACTTGTTCGCAGCTTCTGTGACAGCATGCACAAAACCTGCACAAGATAAAATCAGCCAAAATCCCAGCATGGATGGAGGAGGGGCTCACAGAGTCCCACCCCTAGCTGAGGAGCTATTAGCAATTGATGACTGCTGGAGGAGGGAGACTTAGTTTTCTTTGGGGATGAAGACCCTGGGAGACTACCTCTGCTCCAGTAGATAGTTACACCCATGCGCATACTGGCAGCACCAACTGGACTCAGTGGATTTTTAAAAAAGACTGTATGGGGGCTGGAGAGACAGCCCAGTGGTTAGGAGCACTGAATGCACTTTCAGAAGGCCTGGTTTCAGTTCCCAGTACATGGTGGTTAACAATCATTAGTAACTCCAGTTCCAGGGTAATATGACACCCTCTTCTGGCCTCCATGGGCACTGAACATGTAGTGTACTTACATACATTCAGGCAAAACACTGATACACATAAAATAAAAATAAATAAAATATAACAAAAATTTGTTAAAGAGCACATGAAGGTGGGGGGAAAGTGATGAAAGGATTGGGAAGGAATTGAAGGGGTAGGACTGGAGGGGAGTGTGAATTTGATCAAAACATTATATGCATACAAGAACTTCTCAAACCAAAAGAAATTAAAAACAACAAAATAAGTAGTGGCAAAGGTATTCAGGAAGCAGAGGCAGGAGAGTTGCAGGAAGTTCAAGGTCAGCTTGACTCTAGCAAGGCTTTATCTCAAAAAATAAATAAATAAATAAATAAATAAATAAATAAATAAATAAGAAAGAGAAATGTAAAACCCATATATATGCTCAATATCATTAGCCATCAGAGAAAAGCAAGTCAAAACCACAATGAGATTCCATCTATGTCCATCCAAATAACCAGGCTATGGAATCCGCCTAGGTGCTCATCAGCTGATGAATGGATAATAAAAATGTGATGTGCATACACAATGGAGTATTGTTCAGCCATAAAGAATAGTGAAATCATGTTGTTTGCAGAAACAATTGATAGAACAGGAAGCCATCCATATTAATCAAAATAAACCAGACTCAGAAAGACAATAATAAATCTTGTAGTACAATCTTCTATGAATAACTCTTAAAAAGAGAATACCTGATAGTGTCTTTGATCTCTGCTTGTATTTCTATATTATTTCTCCAACATCATTATTACTTAAAATGGAATTCTTTGAAAACGTGGAGTAGTATCTGTCTCTGCTGTGAGCTAGATGACAATGGCTCTAGCAACAGATTGCCATTTGACATGACCATTGACGTGGGTGAATGGTGCTCAATGGACAGTCACAGAACTACCAGCATCAGCATCCATACCACTTGTTAGAAATGCCATATCTTGGCCCCTACCTTGAACCTACTAAATCAGAATCTCCTCTAAAGAAGTAACTCCTAGGTCTGGAGAGATGGCTCAGTGGTTAAGAGCACTGGTTGAGCTTGCAGAGGACCCGGGTTCAATTCCCAGCACCCACATGGCAGCTTCAGCCATCTGTAACTCCAGCCTCAGAGAATCCCATGTGATCTTCTGGCCTTTAGTGGCCATTGCTGACACAGATGCACTTACATATATACAGGCAAAACACTCAGACACATAAAATAAAAATAAATAAATGAAAAGAAAATTTTTAAAAAGTAACTCCTGGGAAAATATCAAGAGAATAATTCATAAGGGATTGCTCCAACTGGGTATATTTATAATTTTCTGATGGCCCTCTGTAACCAGCAACTCATATGTGTTTTACTCCTTTGAAATGTATGTATGTATCTTATACTCCTCACAAGCATCTTGTGTTTCATACCACACATCCAAGAGCTAGCTTTGTCTTGGTACTCATAGAATTATGGCAGTTAAAGGAGGTGATTTACTTATTGATGAGAAATCCCCAGTTAATCTAAAAATAGAGAAAATAGTAGTATGCTGGGTTAAATTCTATGTTGAACATGCCACTAGCAGTAGACACCAAGGAAAATGTCATTAAACCAAAGAAAATGCAACACTAGAGATATAGACATGTGAATATGATAGTAGACAAATTTCTTGGAAATTTCTGGAATGCTAAATAA